GGCTGGCGCGGCAGCGGGGCAGCTGGCTTGCCCTCCATGCTTGTGCTCGCCCCTCGCTTGGGGGGACGCCCAGTGACCGGGGTCTGTTTTCTCTTGCAGAGGACGATCTCTCTGGGAGCAGGGGACAGGCAGGTGATCCAGACACCCATCAATGACTCGCTTCCCGTCAGCAGCTGCAGCGTGGCCCTGCTCTTCCGCCAGCTTGGTGAGACTTCTCCCCACGCCTCCTTCTCATCGGGTCTGGTGCCAAAGCCAGCCGGCCGAGTCCTGGGACGGAGTTGCCTGCACGTCGCTTCCCACCGCGCTCCTCAGCCTGGCGTGGCCGCTCAGGGCTCTCTTCCGGCTGCAGCCACCTCAGACTGAGCCCTCCCCGGCCCCGCGTTGCCTCCCCTTTCCCAGGAGGGCAGGAGATGGCGGCTCGGGCACAGACGTGTGGCCAGATCTCATGGGTGGTGGAAGGAGTGCCCGGAGGTGTGCTGCCATCAGCCTTGCGCCTCTGGTTAAAGGACAGTGGCAGCTCAGGAGAGCTGCTGAGCATCTCTCGGAAGAGGGTCTTCCTTGGGGGAGTGTGTACGGGTCCGTGGGTGACCCAGAAGCGGCTCTCTGGAGGGATGTTGGCTCCTCTGATGTGCAGAATGTGGAGATGGGGGGTGGGATCCAGCCCGGGTAGGGATTAGCGGTCTCTGGTGGGGTGCGGGAGGGGAACCCTCGTTGCTGAGCGCTCTTCTCTCCCTGTCTCCCCAGGCATCACCAATGTGCTGTATCTCTTCTGTGCAGCGCTTACTGAGCACAAGATCCTGTTTCTCTCCAGCAGTTACCAGAGGCTCACTGACGCCTGCCGGGCTCTCCTTGCGCTGATGTTCCCCCTCAAGTACAGGTGAGGGAACCCCACCTCTCCTCGAGCCCCTCAGCCCTCCGGCAGCATCCTAGAGCCGGCTGGGGCACAGCCGCCTGCCGAGCCGGTGCCGGCTGTCCTGCCGAGCCCGTGCTTCACGCCCTCGCTGCCTCCTGGGTTCATAGCTGGTGTGACTGTGTTTTGGGCACTGCCGGTGAAGGGGCAGGTGAATGCCCCCAGGTTTTGGCTCTGCTCAATGCCCCTTCCTGAAGCCTTCTGCGTGCACGGCAATGTAATTCCAGAGTGCGTCCACAGCACCAAAGGGTTGCGGAGCTTCCACCCCTGCCTCCCTCCTCCCTCGGGCAGGACCGGGGCTGTAGCACGGGACGCAGGGAGCAGCGGGGCATTACCAGCAGTGTCTGTAGCTCCAGGAGCTGCTGGCGTGCATTACTTCTAGTCACGGTGACCTTTGACAGAGGGAAGCAAGCCCGTCCGGCCATGGGACGTGGTCCAGCAAGTGCCCATGGTGTGTGTGAGAGAGGCCGGAGGTGCTTCTCTCTCCAGAATCCGTCCCCGTTCCCTTCTCTCAGCCCTGTTGCAGCCTGTGCGGAGCACAGAGCCTCAGCGCGCTGCCTCCGCTGGCAGCCCTCCGTCCCAGCCCCGGGCACGAAGTCTCGCTGAAGGGGGGAGGCTGGACACTGGGAGGCTTCCAGAAAGCCGTGGTGCAAATTCTGCCCTCCCTAGAAGGGGACGCGCGCATACAGGGCGTTTGTGAAGGGGTTGGTGGTGGTGGTGGCCAAGCCGCCGCGGTGACTGCTGCGGGACGGCTGGCACCCCGCTCGCTCGGGCGCTGGTGATGCGGTTGACCCGCGGGGCCCGGCCGGGGAGGGGGACGCCGGCTCGTGGACTGGTCGCCACTGGGGTTGTTTGCACATCTCCCAAGTAGGACAGTTGGGATAGACGGGCCATTGTTGCTGCCGGCTCCTGTCACACTGTTTCCACGCTGGCCTGCCATACCCCTAGGCTGCAGAAAGGCTGTTTGTATTCCAAAGAAAGCTTTCTTTTGGAGTTAAATTGCTTTGCTGGAAACCTTTCCCTCGGTCAGACTTAGATTATAACTCCAGGGCCAGAGAATGATGACGGTCAGTGTCCACGAGCCCTCGGAAACCTTGGGCAGCTGCAGGGCACGTACTGCCCGAAGGGCTGAGAGCGGCAGGAGAAAGCCTGCCGTCCTGGGGCCGTGGTCGCCCCACAGCCTCTGGAGGCGGGGATCGTCAGCTGGTGTCGAGGACGGTGCTTGGGTAGAGAGCAGGGCTCGACTGGCTGCAGCGATGCTCTTTTTTGGTTGCAGTTTCACGTACGTGCCCATCTTGCCTGCACAGCTCCTTGAGGTACTGAGCACGCCAACACCCTTCATCATCGGCGTCCACTCCATCTTCCAGTCGGAGACGCAGGAGCTGGTGAGAGTCCGGGCGCCCCGTCCCTTGTGCCGGGAGCAGAAGCGGTCCAAGGAAGAAGCAGGGGTCGTGTGCCGGCGGTCTCAGATAGCAGCGAACGTTGTCCTGAGGGTGCCCGGGACGGGAGGCTGAGCACGCCGGCTCGCACAGGCGCTGCTTGTTCAGGCCGGCCAGCCCGGGCTGCGGTCCAGACGTGCCGCAGGAGCCAAGCGGGGCTGGCTGGGCCACGCGTCGTCGGGGCTTTGGGCTGCGGAGCTGCACACCAGCGGCTGGGGTTAACCGAGGATCTGATTTTGAAACTCGGCTGGCAGTGCTGGTCCAAGAGGCTGTGTTGGCACTTCAGAGCTCAGTTCAGAAACTGAATTAAATCAGAGCGTAATGAGTCTGATCTAAACTGAAGCAAGCTTTCCCCCAGCCTTCTGGCCAAACTGCGGCATGCCGCTTTGGTTGAGCAGGGTGGCCTCTGTCTTGGTCAGTGTTTGACGCCTCACCCGGGCTGATGCCACGAAGTCACGGCAGACGCCTGCTGAGCAAAGCTGCGGCCCCCTCCTGCCCGGGTGTCCTCCCCCTGCCACCTTCCTTGGTGGTGGGATCCCTTTATAGCTTGCGTGTTGGCAAACGCTTGGGCTTGGTGACAGTGGGTGAGAGAAAATGACTCCTGAGGGTGGAGAGAGTGCTCGCAGAAGATGGAGAGGAGACGGACGCCGTCCCAAGCCCTCCTGAGCTGGGCTTGCCCCCTCGCTAGCTCTCCGTTGCCCAGCGGGAGGTGGTGGGAGGGTGTCGGGAAGCCCGGCCTCGTCTCACGCCTCTCCTGCCGCTTTCAGCTGGATGTTGTTATCGCAGACCTGGACGGCGGGACAGTGAATGTCCCCGAGTGTGTACATATCTCCCTGCTCCCTGAACCTCTGCTCCAGCAGACGCGGGAAGCCCTCTCCATGGTAAGTGCCGCAGCTTTTCCCCCGTCTGCAGGGTGCGAACACCTTGGGAACAGCGCACGTTTCCCAGGGGAGCTGGGAAGGGAGCAGCAGGGACTCCTCTGAGAGCAGAGGTCCGTATCTCCAGGTCCCGCTGACCACCTCACAGGAGACCTTTCCTGATCCTGATGGCCCCTGGTGCTGGCAGTGCCGGCGGTGGGGGGTTTCTGCCAAAGGTTTCTGGGAATCAGGCTGCTGGCGCCCAGCCTGGGGGCAGGAAGCAGCTGCGGCCCCGAAGCTTTTCTGGCTTGCTCGCGTGTTCCCAGAGACCGCCGGCCATGCGGGAGCGTGCCCAGGACGGCAGCGCCGAACACATGCTGCGCGCCTCGGCTTCTGCTCCTCGCCCGGGGCCGGGTCCAGCCCCGTGGGTTCGTTTCCAAGCCCCTCAGACCTTTTTTGGGGGGGCTGGGGGGTCTCTGGGGAGCGCTGCTTCGCTTTTTCCAGCTGTGAAGGCAGAGACGCCCCCGGGCCCGGGCTGAGCATGCTTTGTGCCTTGCCTGTGCAGGTCTTGGACCCAGAGCTGGAGGTGGCAGATCTCGCATTCCCCCCTTCAACAATTTCTGCCTCTTCTCTCAAAATGCAGGTGAGTGGAGCGGGGAGGAAGGGGGGACCCCTCCTGTGAGGCTGCCGTCCCTGCTGGACACCCCGTTTCTTGGGCGCGGAGCGGACAGGCACCGTTTCAGACCTGTCTCCATCTCGGTGTTGCTGAGGTTGAAAGGCAGAGAGCAGCACTGCCGGGACACCGAGGCC